GCTGCTTGCAGGTGTGCAGTGGGAGAGGGACGTGCAGCTGCTTGCAGGTGTGCAGTGGGAGAGGGACGTGCAGCTGTTTGCAGGTGTGCAGTGGGAGAGGGGCGTGCGGCTGCTCGCAGGTGTGCAGTGGGAGAGGGACGTGCAGCTGCTCGCAGGTGTTCAGTGGGAGAGGGGCGTGCGGCTGCTCGCAGGTGTGCAGTGGGAGAAGGGAAGAGGATTTCATTACCTTTCAGGTGTGTGTGCACGTTTTCTTCAATTCTAGGCAACTTTACAAATGCAACGCGATTGGCCTGTTTGGCACTTTGGGTCTTTCACCCATGTTTGGTTTTGTGACATTGCCTGTGGTCATATGGGAGAGAAGGGATGGTGAGGTGAGCACATCTACCTGTGGGCATGTTTCCCCACACAGCTTTGAAACCACATTTTTTAGTGTGACCACCATCTCATAAGGAGCACATCTCTGGCCCAGAGTGGCAGATGAAAGTTCTCCAAAATAAAGATTTTGGCTTAAAAGCCCAAATATTGTTAACAAATACCGTCACTTATTTTCCTTGAATCAACAGGCTGACTTTGTTAATTTTTGAGGAAACGTCTTCCGAATTCCCACGTTATTAACCAGTTTGCCTTTTAGCACTTCTTTCGAGTACAAAGGACGTTTCTGGAAACGTGTCTATCAGCTCACAGCTCAGACAGCTGCAGCGCGAGCTTTGCTTGAAAAAGTTGTGGTTCCTGATGCACTTCTCAGGTTCCGTGTGTGCTTCCCGTTTGCCCTCAGAATGTTGAAAAGATGTCTACTCAGGGGTCAAGAGTTAACCCTCAAGTTAAGAGCTTTTCCTACATCATCAGTTGAAATTGCTTCTTGCCCCGCTGGGAGTGTCTGGGCATTAAGAAAGCAGTTTGGCGGCCCTGCCTTGATTTATGCCGGCGCCAGCATTTTCACTCACCACCACTTGGGTACCACGAGTGCAGGTGCCCACACAGTGACAGAAGCAGATGATGTCTGGCATTACTGTGAAAGCAGTTCTGATGTCACAGGCCACTTGAAAGGGCCTCAGGCACGCAGCTGTTGGTTGGCCACCTGGAGGACCACGGCCCTTGAGGGAGGCTCCCACACAGGCCTGTGGATTTCTCCCGGAAAAGCCCCCGAAGATGAGCTCACCGTAGGGAGAGTACAAAGCCCAGAAGCGTGCGCCGAGCAAATAGCGGTGCTGAGTCGGGAGGAGCGATTCCCTGGGCCCCGAGATGCTTGGGCTGCTGTGAAGGAGCCCAAAGAACTTGCAGGTTTCAGGGGCTTCAGGTAGAGGAGGGTTTATAACGATGGGAAGATGCAGCAGACAGAGCTCACAGATTTAAAAAGAACCAAATGACTCCTAACAACTCAACTATAGCTGGCGAAGCTTTGTTTGACACAAGGTAAGAGAGGAGTTAAAGGAGCAAGGACGAAATGAGGAGGCCGCCCGAGAAATAGAAAGGCGGAAGTGAGGTCAGGACGTGAGGGCGGAAAGCGGGTCCAGAAAGAGAAAATGCGCTGGGGAAAACCAGCGTTCATAAACGCCGTGGCCGAGAACATTCCAGCGCCGCCGAAGACACCGTTCCTTACATTCAGGAAACAAGAAAGCCTCAAGAAAGAGGAATTAAAATGTCACACACAGAGGGAAACCACTAAATATGAGAACATCTTGTAGGAAAGGCCAGTGACCTACCAGTAAACCTGAGGTGGACAATTGGGTGGAAAACAGGCCGCTCCAGAAACAGCAGAAGACTTGTGCTGTTCTGAAGGGAAATACTGTTAGGCGAGGCTGGATTTTGTTAAAAGTAGCATTCAGCGATGTGCTATCTATAAGACTCTCACCTCAAACATAAGATTACAAAAAGGCACAAAGGAAAGGTTGGGAGAAAGGCAGCAGATAAATAGGAACCAAAGTAATAGTTATGTAGCTATGTAGCTCTTATGTAGCAAGTAGATGAAATAGATCTGAAGGTAAAAAGCATTGTTTGGGATAAAGAGTATCCCTGCCTAGTGATAAGTGGATACATTTCCCAGG